GTGCCCCCCCAGCCTGGCCTGTGGGGTGGTGGCTCGGGCCGCCGGACTCTTCCAGAACCCCAAACGCGTCTGTTCCTGCGATGGGGTCACCCTGTGGGAGGAGCGCGACCGCAGCAGCGCCACCACCACCGCCGGGACCCCCGGCCCCCACCTCTAGGAGCCCGCGGGACCCCAATAAACGCCCCTCGCTCTGCAGCCGCTGCGGATTTTGGGGGGGGGGGGGAAACGGGCGGGGGCTTCGCGACCCCCGAGAGGCGGCGGCTCCTTTAAGAGGGGGCGTGGTTCGCTGGAGGTGGGCGGGGCCACAGCGCGGCGGGAAAAGAGTGGGCGGAGCGATGTGCGCACGGCACGCATGCGCGCTAAAGGGGAAGGGCGGTGCGCACGGCACGCACGGGGGCGGTGCGCACGGCACGCAGGCGCGCTGCGCACGGCCCGCCCCGCCCCCGCCGCCCCTCAGGAGCCGCCGCCATTTTGAGGCCGCCGCGGCCGCTACCCCGTCCCCGCTCCGCTCCCGCTCCCCGCCGGTGCCGCCGCCGCGATGCGTCCCGGCATCAAACTCTTCGTGGGCAACGTCCCCGAGGAGGCGACGGCGGAAGAGCTGAGCGAGCTGTTCGCCGGCGCCGCGGGGCCGGTGCTGGGCATCGCCCTCATGAAGCAGTTCGCCTTCGTGCACCTGCGGGACGAGGCGGCGGCCGCGCGCGCCATCTCGCAGCTCAACGGGCACCAGCTGCACGGCCGCCGCATCGTGGTGGAGCCGTCCCGGCCGCGCCCCACCAACACCTGCAAGATCTTCGTGGGGAACGTGTCGGCCGCGTGCACGAGCGGGGAGCTGCGCTCGCTCTTCCAGCAGTACGGCCCCGTGGTGGAGTGCGACGTGGTGAAAGGTACCGGACCCGCCGCTGGGGCCGCGCGGCCCCCGCCGAGCTCGGCCCGCGCCGCCGGGTGACCCCCGAGAAGGGACCCGAGTTCCGTCCGACCGCGGCGCCGCCGCCCCCCGCCCGGACCCCGGCGCCGCCCGGGCTGGTGGAGCCGGGGGGGTGCGAGCCCGTGGGGGCTCCCTGAACCCCCCCCCTTCCCCAGGACCCCCGTCCTGGCAGCCGCGTCCTCCACCATCGCCACCTCCCCCCAGCCCCAGGTGGGGCTGTACGAGCCTGTCCGGGCTCCCCAGCCCGAGCCCCCCCATTATCCCCTTGAAGCCACACGTCCTCCATCGCCTTCGCTCCGCGAGCCCCCGTGGGCTCCCCGAACCTCCCTGTTCTCCCCCCTTCCAGCCACCCGCGTCCTCCTCCATCGCCTCCCCCGCCCCAGGCGGGGCCGTGCGGGTCTGACGGGGCTCCCCACGCCCCTCAACCCACCCCCATTGTCCCGCCCTCCAGCGCCGCTTCCCTCCCGCCGGCCCTGCTCGCTGCACCCTCTGGGACAGCCTGGAGGGAGCCGGGAAACCCCCGAGGGGCTCCACGGCTCCACACTGGGGAGCCCCAACAGGGTGTGATGGTGTCACCCCCTCGCCCTGACCCTGCTGTGAGCAGGTGTCACCCTCGTGTCACACCCATCGTGGCAGTGCCACCACGTGTCCCCCTGACCCTGATGCCAAAGGTGTCACCCACAGGTGTCACCCGCAGTGCCCACGTCTGTCCCCTCTGCCCCGGTGATGTCCCACAACGACATCCCACAACGGTGTCCCCCCGTCCCGGCGACGTCTTCGCCGTCCCCTCGCCCGCAGGAGGGGGACGTTGTCGCTCTGCTCTCTCTCGTCCCAGGTCGCAGCTGCCAGCGGAGCCCCAGCAGGACCCACCCGCGTCCCCTCGGGCTCGGGGGGTGCCATGGCCGCCCCGGGGGGTGACGGGAGGGCCGGGGGGAACGTGGGGGGACATCCCCTCCCCTCCTTGGGCCGCAGGGACAGGAGGCGGGAGGGCAGGGTGGCGGAGGGGACGCAGGAGGAGGTGACTCAGTGCAGACGCTCGAGGGTCCAGGGGGGGTTTTTGCTCTGCCAGCGACGCTCCTGGCGCACCCTCGGGCGGTCCCGGTCCGTGACCGCGGGGGCAGCACCGCGGGGTCATCGCTGCCCTCCCCGTGCCGGCCCCGGACCCGCCGTGTCACGGGGGTGAGCCCTGGCTACTGTGGGGGCGTCCAGGGTGCCCCCGGGTCCCGCTTGCCCCGCTCTCGCTCTCCTCTCTCTGACGCCTCCGCGCTGCTGTGCCGCGACTGTGCCGCGCGGCACCGGCTCCTCGCCACGGCCGGGCACTCACGGGGGGTGCTCGGGGCCCTTCCTCTCTCCTCTCACCTCCCCCTTCCTCTTCCCTCCTCTCTTTTTCTCTTATTTCCCTTTTTCTCTCTCTGCTCTCCCCCCTCTATTCCTCTCTCTCCCCGTCTTCTTCCCTTCTCTCAATTCCTTCCCTTCTCTCTGTCCCATTCTCTTCCCGTGTGTCCCCCCCACCCCTTTTCCTCTCCCTCTCTCCCCCCTCTCCCCCTTTTCCTCTCTCTCCCTGTCCCTCTCCCTCTGCTGGCGCCGGTTCTCTCAGCTTTGCTCCGCTCACGGCCGGGACGCCCCAGCTGAGCCCCCGGTGCCGACGCCGCCGGGGCCGCCCTCGGTCCCCGTGTGCCCGGGGAGGGGCTGAGGGGACTCCCCCGCCCCTCACGGGGGTGCAGGAGGCAGGGAAGGGGGGCCAGAGGGACCCAGCGGGG